CGTTTTGATTTACAATTCACATTCAAACAAAGGCATAGGACATATTGAAAATAATTATTATTTATACATGTACATATTTCTAATAATTAATATTCATATAGTTTATCTCATACGAGTACATACAAATATGAAGAAACCAGGTAGTTAATTAATATTTCTAATTTTATATATTACTTTATATAATTTTATTAATTTTAATTTAATACAACAGTTTACAAAATACTAATGACAATACACTTTTGCAAGTAACTTATAATGTTATAAAATTTATATAACAAAAATAAATTTATTATCTATCAAGTGCTGCCGTTTTATACAAAAAAAAATAAATAAAATTATTTTGGCACGTTCAAGTGCATTACTATTTTTGTTTTATATGATTGTAAAAATTTATAAATATATTATAAAATGTGAGAAGAAAAATTGAATGTCAAAGTCAAAATTATAAAATATTTATCATTCTCACTCATGATATTAATTTTCATATATGTATGTATGTATATTTATGTAGATAATATTATGTGTGAATTTCTTTAATACACAACAAAAAAAAAACAGAAATGTATAAAAATATAGAAAAAATTTAATTTAAAAAAAAATCAAAAAATGTAAACAATTTATATAAAAAAAAAAATTTATTTATATATTTTTATTTATTATTTTGTAAGGGGTTACTCACCCACCGCATATACAACAAATTTTTATGAATGAGACAAGAATAGCTATCACATATTATAATGTGTAATATTCAATGTATATTTCATAGTTAATATGTGCAGGGGGAGAGTTTCGCGATCATAATGAACAATAAATAAGTGTATACAATATACATAAATGTATATACTCATATTTATATTTAAAATTGACGCTATGACTCGGCCGTATAATATCACATCACGCATTGACAATAATATTTTTATATAACTAGTTCATATATTTCATGATTACAATCATTTCAAATTGCAATTACTTATAATAAGTATTATGTTTTATAATAGATGGTGTTTTTTCATTGTCATAATTTCGTTTTTGTATGATTTCTTAATATAATATTTATGTTTTGTATAATGCATAAGCGTGCCTACATATAAACAATGTACTTAAGTATATTTATTATTTTGTATAAAATTGTATTATATAAGCTATGTAATTTATTTACATATAAGTATATTATTTTTATTATAGAAATTTTGAGTGACTCATTGCTTTTAATAATATTTCTACATTCGTAGTTTATATAGAGCTACATTACATGCATTATTATCATATCAAATTTGTTGATTTGTTATTGAAAATGTCAATCGCCTGCAAAATACTGTTATATTTATTTGCACATACATATGTGTATGATATGGATATATACACAAACACATAATGTAATTATGCAAAATTCAAGTTATATGAGAGATTAATTTACATTATAATGAATATTTTGTTTTACTAATAAATTTAAGACACCCTTTTAAACACGAGATTAAAAGTGTGAAAAATAAGCAGATTATGGATTAGTTTTGTCAAAAATAAGGAGACCTATACTATTCGTCGTCTATAGCTCATCAAAATCACCATTAGCTTAGTCTTTTTAAAAAGTGGACTTATACCACTTTCAAAAAAACAAGCTCATGTGTTAATGTGTTAAGAGATCGTCAACATATGTTTTACATTCTTATATAACATTTTCAATAAAAATTTCCCTTCTATTCTATTGAGGGTAATGGATTATGACAAAATGGGTCATAATTTTTATTTTACATACTACAACTTATAAATATGAGTTTCCGACTAAAATCTTATTTTTTCTTTTATACATACGTATTAAAATAATAAGATTTTTTTTTCTGTTTTTTTTTAATTTTTTAATTGCTTGGCTCTTACAAAATATTTAATAACATTTTCACCGGCGAACATTTTCACTACAAAATTTTTTAAATATAATTAAATATCATGAAGAAACAAATTTATTTGACATGCCCATTTATGAATAAATGCATTACACAAAATATGAACTTATAATTTTATATATAACAGTTGTTATATATTGTATAGAAAGTAAATAATACATATACAGAAAGCAAATGCAAGCTATTAAGATCATCACAATCTGTATAACTGATATATTTTTTGATCTGTTCATGGGTTGGGGTTAATTGACTCAATTAAGAGAATGAAGATGATAAATAAATTTAAGGAAGCAAAAATTTGTAAAAATACAAGAAATATATATGTACGTATATGATATTGTGCATTGTTTATACATAAAATGTGTACGGGCTATATTCTCATATGTTTATGAACGCTAATTATAATTATTGTTTTCAGAAATTTTCGTGTAACGTACCCACTATATAATTTTCTGTTCGCATATGTTACAAAAATGCATTTTTATACCCTGCACTTCGTGAAGGGTATATTAACTTTGGTATGGAGTTTGTAACTACTTGAAGGAGTTATCTGCGGTATGGACATATATATATATTCTTGCTCAGCGTAAAATTCTGCGTCGATTTAGACATGTCCGTCCGTCCGTCCGTCCGATCGCACGATAACTCAAAAACGAATAATGCAATCGACATCAAACTTTCACAAGTTGCTTCTTTTGTGCCAAGGACGAACCCTATTGTTATTGGACCAATTCGGACAACGGGTTCGGGTAGCTGCCATACAACTCAAAGAGTTTATTTTAATTATTTCAAAAACTAATAAAGGTACAAATATAAAATTTTGTATACATGTGTCCAATTATATTCTACATATGCTCTAAAAATTTTAATGAGATAACTGCACCGGTTGGGGTGGCTGCCATACAACTCCAAAAGCAAATTTTTTATATTCGGCAAAATAATAAAGTCAGATTCATGAAACTTGGCAGTCGTGTGTCCAATTATAGGTCAAAGATATTTCTGAAGTTTTGGTGGAATTGTTTGACAGGTTCGAGTGGCTCCCATACAAGTGCAAAAGCTTATTTTAAATATTTGGAAAAGTAATAAAGTTAGATTCATGAAACTTGGCAGTTGTGTGTCCAATTATAGATCAGATATACCTGCGAAGTATTAGTGGAACTGCTTGACAGGTTCGGGTACCTGCCATACAACTCCAAAAGCTAATTTTAAATATTTGGAAAAATAATAAAGTCAGATTCACGAAACTTGGTAGTTGTGTGTTCAGTTATAGATCAGACATATCCGTGAAGTTTCTATAGAATGGTTTCACAGGTTTGAGTAATTGCTATACAACAATGAAAGGTGCAGGGTATAATTCAATCGGTTCATACCGACTGAAACGTTTTTACTTGTTTAAATAGAATTTTTTAAAATTTTCTTTTCTCTATAATGTTATTTTAATATTTATGTAGGTTAAGTAATTTTTGACAAATTACTAAAACAAGTACTAAATTTTGAGTTTGACGTTTCTGATGAATTTTATTCAGTGCATACCAATTAAAGGTTGAGACGGGGAATATACATTAAATTAAGTATTGCATATTAAAATCAAATTGCTCAAAATAAATACATTTTTTCTTAATTAGAGGGTAGGTAAATATAGAAAAATTACAATTTATTTAGGTAAGCATTTTACATTTGAAAAAATAAAAGAATATGCTAAAGCAATAAGTTTGAAAATTGTTGCCTTTCCTGTTAAATACTCAAATTCAATAAATTTTATGCATTAAAAGTTGATATGAGCAGATCACGATAAATACCGGTCTAAAAAGTAATTTGAGAGCACTGTTAATTATATCGGACAACAAATTAGAATGAGCAAATAAAATTCCAATTTTTAAAGTCATGTACTTCCAAATTTTAGCAATATCTGGAAAATTATAGTTTATGAAGCGATTTTGATATACAGTCTTTGAATGAATGCTAAAATAGTATAACAAATACATGCTCGGTCTGAGAAATTCTAAATTTAGCAAGAAATACAGGGCCGCATTTAGAAATTAAAAATTTAATTTGGGTAGAAATATAGGCTCAAAATTTCCCGAGTAAATTTTTTTTTTATAATTTTTCAATTTACAAAAGAGATTTTTAATATTACTAACAGTCTTACACTTATCTCTTTGTTTCTCTTGGCTCAAATAAATGATATAAACTTAAGGCAGCAAATAATACGAAACAAAAAAAAAATAAATAATGTCAAATCTTTTATAATTTTTAAGTCATTGTGATCTTTTTAAAGCGAAAAATAATCTTTATTTTATTTATACATGATGCATTTTACATGTATAACAAAAAAAAAAACTTCAATGGAAAATTTAAACAAAGAATTGTATAAAATTGGAAATTATTTTCTCAATTTAATTTTTTTTTTATTCCTTTTTCATTAAAAATTTTTCAAAATAATTTTATTTAAAAATCCATTTGTATAATTGTAAAACTTTGTATATAGAAATTTCAACATTTTATTTTTTTTTCTTTTTCTTGTTAATTTTTTAATTCAAATTCTTAATGATAGCGTTCTTTATAATATAGTAATTTATAGAAGATTAAAATCGAAATAGATAAAAGATCATATTATGAAAAGTTTGTAATTGTAATTGTAATAGAGAACTCGTCTTTTCTGAAAATTTTCTCTCTCATATAATTCTGTTAAAAAATTTTATAGGACAAAGAACGACAAATTTTTCGAGAAATGGCATGGAAAGACATGCCTCTTATAATGAACTATTCTATTCAAGAAATTCGTTTTGATGGCTACATGTAAGATCATCCCAAATCAAATTCTGTGAGCATTCAATTGATTATACAAAATTGAGTTCCAAATAGTATTTGAACTACATTCTAACAGAATTTAGTTACTGCAGGTTGAATTTTGGTCCGATTGACATTTTGAATATTTTAAATAAATAAGCAATATAAAATTGGCATTTTATTAAGTCTAAGGCTTTCTATAAGGCGAATTATATTTTCTAGATTTACTGAATTTTTTTTTAAATCAGAAATTTGTAACGATCATCAATATATACATATAAAAATTTTTATATATAAAAATTGACTTACCTCAGCTTGTGATGTTTTTGGTGCTGGTGCTCCAATACAATTTTCAACTAATACAATTAAAATTGTTGTTACTATTAATAAAGTCCATTTGTGTAATGAATTTAATTTTGTAAATTTATTATAAGATCTAATTTTTGAAATTGGTATACATGTTGTTGTTGTTGTTGCTGCTTCTACTTGTTCTAATTGTAAAGACGGTTCTATTGATGGTATTGATTTTGATATTCTGACTGATGATGATGTTATTAATGGTGATGATAAAGATGATATCCTTGAATATTCTAAATTATTAATTCTTTGTTGTCGTCGTTCAATCATTTTTTCATTCGTTTATTTTTTCAATTTATTTTATAAAAAGAAAATTTTTTAAATTTTGTTGAATTTTTTGTTTAATTTTTCTTTATCTTAAAATTTTATTTGTGTTGTAAGAGTATAGATGATTTTTTTTCTTTTTTGTATAAATTGGTATCCCTAACTAAATTTCTCGTAGTTTTTGTAAAGTTTTGTATCTTATTACTTTTTTTTGTTTTCTTGTTCTTTTTTTGTTCTGTTTTATTAACAAAATCGTTGAATCTGAAATGAAAGAAAAGATAAAAAAAAAATTAAATTAATTTTTCACCTTTTTGTTTTTATTATGCGTTTTTTATTTTCGGGTTGTTTTTTGTTTTAAAATTGTACATTCATCTGATTAAAATGCTAACTTGCTCTTATAGTGGGAGTTTATAAATGAGTTAATGAAAAGAACAGCAGCCCAGAGTTAGTAGTAATGGAAGCGAAAAAAGAATTTGAGAAAAAAAAAGGAATTTTAAATTTTTTATTTTGTTTTTGTTTTTAAAAGGTGTTTTCTTTGTTTCAATTTTTCAGGGAAATTTTTATATTATATAACGGTATTTTAAAGGAATTATTTTAATGTGTTTCATTTTTTTGCTTTTATGTTAACTTTTTGACCGTTTTCTTGCGATCTTTTCATTTTTTTCTTTTATAGTTACTGAACAAAAGCAAAAAAGAAAAAAGATTCTAAAATTAGAACGCGTTCTTAATTAATTAATAAAATTTTTGGGAGTGCCTCTTCGTTAAATGAAGATTATTGTATGCTCGTTATTTTTTTTAAATAATTGCATAAATTTACCCTAGTTTATTTGATAGCTTATCATACATGCATATAAAAGGTTTTGTCTCTCATAAGTTTGCATTAAATTTAAAATATAAATAAAATTTTTCTTAAAAAATAATTTGTATTGCAAATTGCTCTTATAAGAATAACAAAAAATCCGATTATTTTTTCAAGGTTGAAATTTTTTCCCATAAAAAGTAATTATTTTTAAAAATAAAATTTTCAAAAAGAAAATTCTTCAATCGATTTTCAAACGACTATTTAAATTTGATTTCTAAATAAGAATTAGTTGATTCATTAAAATAATTAAAAGAACTTTCATTTGGAAGTAAAAAAACCATTCTGCAAGTTTTTTAAAAAAAAAATTATAAAATTTATTAAAGTCGTGTTTTAAAAATTGAGTTGATTTCAGAAAATATTGCATAAGTAAGACGATTCCATATTCAAAATAAAAAATTTTTGTTTCAATTGTTGAAATAAATTACTTAAAGGTGAAAATATTGTCAGTCCACAGAAATAGTAATTATTTCCGAATAAATTATTCAAGTACATCGGAAAAAATTTTATTCCTTCAGGCCGTTTATTACTCAACCAAAAAAATTATTTTATATTTCACAATTTTTTTTACTTTTACTTAATTTTAAATTTCTAAATCCTTAAAGTAATATTCTATTTATTTACCTATACGGATAGAAATATTTGCTTTCTGTACAATGAGATTTTAAAAATATTTTCATCAAAATTTTTAAAAATAATATTTTATGTATATAAATAAGGTACGGCACGCCCTGACTGTCAGATAAAGATAAGTGGATTAGCATAAAAAATATAAACATAATCATATATAATTCAATTTAAAATAAAATTATATTTGAATATCTTATATTCTTAAATATGCTCTTATACAAATTTAAAATTATTATTTTAAAGTGTTTTTCATTTTTGTATATTTTTTTGTTTTTTAAGGATATTTTGTATTTTTATTTGTAATATTCTTCTTTAATGCTTAATTTTTATTTTTTAGAAAAGGTTCAAAGAGATTTTCATTCCTACTTGAAAAGTGTACTATTCTATGTTGTTATATATACAACCCAAATGTGTATGTATAATGTATAAATATTTGATTTAGTCTTAAAGCAATGATTTATTATAATGATAATAATCCTTAAAGATTTGTTCTTCCTTGAAATGAAAAAGATCTGAATGTACTTTTTTTTACAAATATTCAGGTGAAATGTGTGTAGGCATAAGAATATACTTATGATTTGAATTAAAAATTAAAAAAAGGTAGCTGTTTTGTATGATTATACACTTATACTTTAATGTAAATTTTCTTTTAAAAGGCCAAAAATTATTTGGAAAGAAAATAAAAATAAAATGAACTAATTTATTAATTTTACTTTTAATATTAAAAATCTTTTAGTACAATTTAAAAATTTGATCGATTTTCAATAATTTTATGAATTTTTCAATAATTTTAGGGGATTTTTCAATAATTTCGACAATGTTTTTCAAAATATATTTTAATATTTTTCTATATGTTTTGGAAATTCAACAATTTTGAATTGAGTGATTCAAGAAATTTGAGAAATAATTACAATTGATTAAATCTGTAATTGTTTCTTAAAGGATAGACCTTAATTACTATTCTCTTGGAAAGTCAGTTTTTTCATAAAGTTATTCAATATTGGAAAAATATATTAAAAATTTTTAAAGTTCTTAAACGAAATAATGGAAATTGTATGATAGGCAATGTTGAAAACATTAAAATTTTAAATTCACATAAAAAATCTAGTGTTTTAATTAATAAAAATTTAATTTTAAATTTAGAAGTAAGGGGAGCTGTTTTTCTTTTTACTATTAAAAAGCTTATTAAAAATATTACCCTACTTATTAAAAATATTTCCAACGTTATTCGGAATAAATAATAAAAAATCAAATAGAAATTCAAAGTGATTCTCATTAATAATATTTTAAATACGATAATCTTTGAAAAATTTTTATATTCATGTTCTAATTTCTTATTCAATTAGAAAATTTTAATAATACTCGTAATATTTGCATATTATTTATTAAAATTTTTTTTTCTATTAATTTTAATTTTGTATTAGATTTGTGTTTCTGCTTTAATAAACTACAAAGTACATTTAAATATTATTCATAATATACTTAGATTTAGGAATATTATGTTGTATGGTGGAATATATACTACATAATTGTATATTAATGACCTCAAACTATAACGCTGGTATTAAAAAACAATAAAAGAGAGAAAATTTATTTCCACAAGTTTATTATTAGTTTATTTTCTATTCTAGTTTTTTTTTTTTAATGTTTTAAATAAAACTTCTTTAAAGTTTGTTCATATATGCATTTTATTAAATAAAAAGAACCAACGTATAAGTTAATAATAAACTTTTAATTTTCCGTATTTTTTCCTTTTTTCCACACATTAAAATTTAATAATAGTTTTGTTTTTTTAATGCGCTCTATGCCTTGAATCTTATACTCGTTTGTTTATTTTTTTTTTTTCTTTTTAAATTTTTAGGCCAATGTGCATTGTATATACATACATCTATAAAACTGAATTTATTTTTTTTCTCTACCTTAATTTCGTTATGTTTACCTTCACGTCATTTTTTACTACCCTTTATTTAAATAACGTTTTCGCTGTAAATTTTTTACAAGTAAAACAAGTAAACTATTCTTACATTTTTTTTAAATTTTCTGTTATTGTAAAATTTATGAGTATGATACGCCTTGTCCTATCACTATAGAATTTAATTATGCTTTAAACTACAAATATGTATCTATATTGTATATATGGAAAATTTTTATATATAAGAAGAAAATGAAACAAACACAAATGAAAAAAGGATAATAAGAGAGAGAAAAAAAACATACATACATATTATATAAAATATTAGCAACCAACAATCAACCAACGACCTTTGTAAAATATTCTACAACCATTTTTTTGTTATAATAATAATTGTACCTGTAGTGTAAATTGTAAAGTATTTAAAAAAAAAAAAAGAGTACTTTGAAAAAAAAAGTACATACACAAAATTAATATTCACTCAGAACACTATTTAAAAAAATGAGAAAAAAACAAGAGGTCTTGTTGATAAAGGGTGATAAAAGGGGAAAAGAGATAATAACATAGAGAGAGGGAGAAAGGGAAAGAGAGAAGAGGGGAACGAAGCAAAAAAGTAAAGTTTTTTTGACAAAAAAATTACAAAAAATATAAAAACAAAAAAAAAGCAAGAAATAAAAGAGAAATAATAATGCGAGAAAATGAGTTCAACGTCAACATTAACCTTAATGCTTTTATGTTATACAAAAAGTTTAAGAAGGATAATAAAGCAATCTGTTTTGTGTGTTTTCTTTACTTCTAATTTTTTTTTATTTCGTTTTTTTTTTTTTTGTTGTAAAAAGGAACGTGAAGCACAAATGAATTCCGAAAAAAAAGGAACTTAAAGTATGAAAAAATAAGAAGAAGAATAAAAATAAATGTAGTTAATTTATATATTGTATGCATTTGTATGTATGTACATACGTGTATAACAGTTTGTATTGTATGCATTTGTAAACAGGAGAAGTCAGTGTTTTTCAAATATTTTGAAAAATATTGAGACGAATCAGTGAGATTTTCTTTTAGAAACATTTTGCCCTTAAAGAAAAAATTTATTTTTATAATAAAATTAAACCTACGTTCAGTAGAAAAAAAATGATATTAATGAATAATTAAGTATAAATTTGAAATTTTAGAATAATTCTGAAATGATTCGGAAATAATTCTGATAAAATTCTGAGACAAATTCTAATATAATTGTGAAATAAATCCGAATAATTTTGAATATAATTGAAAAAGTTCTTAATTAAATGAAAAATAATTCGAAAATAGTTCGAAAAAATTTTCGAAATGTTTCTAAATTAATTTAGAAATTAATTAATTTAGAAAATAATTTAAAAATCGTTATTCTGACATGATTTTGAAATGATATTCACAAAATTTTGAAAAAAATTCTAAAAAAAAATTCTGCTATAATATAACAAAATATTACTCCTGTTATATTATTGTTCCTGTTAAAAATTTCATAATTACATAATGTAAAACACTTTGAAAATCTAAGTTTTTTTTTACGGAAAAACAAATATTTTTTACTCTTCTCTGAAAAGTATAAAAACGTATGGAAAGGGTAAAAAACAAAATTACATAGCAAAAGAAAAAAGAACCAGAAGAAAAAGAAAAATTCAATTTCTCAATGTAACTAGGACATTCATGTATAAATAACTACAAAGAAAAATGGTGATAATATTTAATGAACAAGCATTTATTATTAATAATTTTTTTTTTATATTTTTTAAATATTACTACCATAATTTTCCTTGCTGTTTTTTGTCTTGACATTTGTCTGTTATTTTTCGTTCTTCGACAATAAAATAATAAAAAAAA